GGTGCAACCTCTTTCATTTTATCTAAATTTTCCTTGATATCAGAAAAATCGTTACTAGTAATATGGAAAGTATCTATCGTGTGTGTTGGCTTTAATGTAAAGTCAGAAATATTGAAATCCAAGGGCTCTGTTGGAATAACAGTGCTATGAAGAACATATGATACATCATTTATAACCAGTGTGCAGTTACTACTTAAAATATAATTACCAATTAGATTAAAAGGCTTGATTTCGCCATCGCATTTTTCGAAAACAGTGATTCTGATGTTGCTAGAAAATAATACTGCCTCATCACTCTCGAGCAAATATGTTAAGCTTAAAAAGTTTTTAGCCTGTACAATGCTACATTGATCAATTGATCGAGGCGTACATTTTTGATTAGTCGAAGTTTCACAAATAAATCGATTCATGGATCTTTTACATTGCTTAGGACAACTTTTAATCGATACATCGTTATACAAAAAATATTCATGTTGGAATAGTACTAACATGGTGTTACTGTTTAACAAGGGATATAACTTTGATAATTTATATTTGGTAGATTCCAAGATAGGTAACTCGACTGCGCATAAAATTATTTCATCTGTATAAATAATACTACTTCTACTCAGGCTAAGTACTTCGAAAGGATGAGTTTCATCTAAGAGAACCAAATTTTTCTTAGAATAAACAGATTTGAGATATTCTTCAATATGAATCAGTTCCTTAACATTAAAATTAGCTACATTGGTCATATGTTTCTGTGATAGGGATATTGTGCTTTGGATCAGTCCGAGGTAATCAGAGTTTTCTCGTAGAGAAATAAGTAGTCTAAAAATTAAAGTTTCATACTCGTATTCATAAATTGCTTTCTTGACAGTTTCTGATAGCGATTGTACATTATTTTGAATGAGTTTCATGTTTCTCTCAAATTTTTGTGAAATGAGCTGAGCGAATGCTTTTTGATTGTTAATAGCCACTATGAGTTCGTTCTCTTTGTCTCTTAATGATATAAATTTATCGTTGATTTCTGTAAGATCGTCCTGATCTAAGTTACCCGTCACATACCTTATAATGCTTCCCAATCCGTTAATAATAGCTCGACGTTTCCTACTATATGAATGGTAAGGCGATAATTTTGAATATTCTGCTTTTACGTTAATGATATTTTTATACAAGTCCTCTAGTACCGGTTTAAGATTTGTATCGTCAGAATAGTTTATTAAGGCTCTATAACTAACTTCTACCTTATTAATAACATCAGCTATTAAGCTGAGATTATGACTAAAAATAAACGTATGATAATGGCTTATCAGTTTCGCATCACCTATTGGTTCCGAATAGAAACCATTATTAGTTGGAACTTGATGAAGCCTCAGCTGTAGACTCTGCGACCATAGAGTTGTCCTGCGGAGAAAAAACCTTTTTAACTCTTTTGATCTGACGCAAGTTCCTTCTGGTGAGAACCGGCTGTTTACCCATAGTTTGTAATTGTAAAGTATTGCCTTCTTGATTCTTAACTCGGGCTTTTACCTGTTTTGCATTGATTTTTGTGGTTCGTTGTCTGGACTTAACAAAAACAGTAGTTTCCTTTGGAATTTCCGGCTGTTCGAAGCGATTTTCATTTTTCTTATTAAGTACCTCTTCTGCCTTATCCTTAGATTTATCACTTACCGACTGATATAATAATTTAAGCTCATCAATGCGTTTTTGATTGTACTGTTCGTAGATGTCCTTGCTCAATTCAATGCTCGTTATATTTGTTCTGTTGAATGGAGCATAAAGAAGGGAGTGTGGAGAAAAATTTGTAGAACTATGTACACTTTGATTATAATTTAGAATCGCAGTTAACATGAGCTCCTTTATGTCCGTTTTTGTATTTTGAAGTTTTAATGCAATTAATTTTTCTTTAAGAGTACTATGAAATCTCTCAACGGGAGAATTAGATGAGGGATTTTCGGGAGTAGTAAAATGAACCTTGATTTTATGTATCTCGCAAAATTCTTTGAAAGTTTTGGATGTAAATCCAGCTCCGTTATCACACGTAATTTTAACAGGGATTCCGTGATGACTAATAAAGTAACGTATTGTTTCAAGCAAAGTTATTGAATTCTCATCCGTAATATGGTACGCCTGGCCGTACTTAGAAAATAAATCTAAAATAGTAAAAAACTTATTGCCATCGATCTTGAATGTGTCAATGTGAACGACTTCAAAAGGATATTTCGCAATAAATGGCCCTTCATATGGTGGTTTGTAAGGGTTTCTATCATACTTAGCCAGATTGCAAGTTTCGCATGAATTAATGAACGCATTTATAAAATTTTTCATGTTGGGCCAATAGTATTTTAACTGAAATGTTTTTAGTGTTTCTTGAATACCGTTATGATTCTTAGAGTGATAATCCTCGACTAGTCTCGTTTGTTCCTCTTCGTCGGTAATATCCAAAAGGAGTTTATTCGTGAAAACTAGGTGAACTTCAGGGTCAAATAAGGAGCGTACTATTTGAGTAATAATTGGTTTCAAAGTCTCATTATGACAGAAAATACCGTATGTATTGTTTGGATCTACATACTCGATAAGTGTTCGAGATATCTGAGAATGTATGTTATCAGAGGAAAGTGTGACGTACAATCTAAATTTATTTTTGAAGATCTCCTGTCTGGTGATTTTATAATTACCTAAAATTTTGAATTCAAATTGACATTTAAAATAGTTCAATGGATGTTCCGAAAATGGAAGTAAATTTATAGGGTGTTCATAATTGCTATTCTCTATGGTTCCCGATCTCGAAGGATTATAAGAAGATGACTCATCAGAGTTTTCTTCTACTTCTCCTTGTACAGAAGTTGGATTATTTTCACGTTTATTTTCGAGACACTCTCTTACCAAAGGAATCTGAAGATAACGAGGATTTGCCTTAGACGATGAGGGTATTTGATCATCTACAGCGTTAAGTTCCGCTCTTGATAAGGCATCAGCAACACAGTTTTCCTTACCTCTCTTATAAAGTATATCATAATCGTATTCTTCTAAGCGGACCTTCCAACGTGCCAGCCTGGATACAGGGTCTTTCAAATTAAAGAGCCAAGTTAATGGTTTGCAGTCAGTTTCGATTACAAATTTTTTGCCATACAAATAAGGTCGAAAATGTTTCACGGAATCTACTATCGCAAGTAACTCTCTCTCGGTAGCGCTATAGTTCCTTTCAGCATTATTCAATGTGCGAGAATAAAATGCGACGGGGCGGTCTTTTTGGGAAAGAACGGAACCAATCGCAACACTACTGCTATCAGTCGTTAGTTTAAAAGGCTGCGTAAAGTCTGGATAAATCAAGACTGGAGAGTTTGTGACTAATTCTTTTAGTTTTTCGAATGCCTGGATATATTCCCTATTCGTTATATCTAATATGGCACCCTTTTTTAACATTCTGGTCATTGGTTGTGCAACTCGAGAGTAATCTTTAATAAATTTTCGATAGAATCCGGTGAGACCTAAAAACCCTTTAATTTGTTTTGTGGTCTTTGGAATAGGAAATTCTGTAATTGCCTTAATTTTGTCTGGATTTGGCTTAATGCCTTGTTCGGTAATTACATGTCCTAAGAACGGTACTTCCTTGCGAAGAAATTCCGTTTTATCCAACTGTACCTTTAAATTAAATTGTTTCAATTTTTTAAATACAAACTCTAAATGTTGAATGTGCTGTTCGAGTGATTTTGAATATACCAAAATATCATCCATATAAACAATACAACTTTTATACAACTGATCACGGAGGACATCATCCATTAAACGCTGAAATGTGGCCGGTGCATTTCGCAAGCCAAAGGGCATCCGGACGTATTCAAGGTGCTGATTGTTCACAGTAAAGGCTGTTTTCTCGATGGATTCAGGGTCCATCTCTATTTGGTGAAATCCTTGAGAGAGATCGAGTGTCGAAAAAAAGGAGCATTTGCCAAGATTGTCTAATATTTCGTCAATACTGGGAAGTGGATATTTATCTTCCACAGTTTTTGAATTCAGTTTTCGATAGTCGATAACTAGACGCCACTTACGTTGACCAGATGCATCTAAACGCTTTGGGACTATCCACACCTGAGAGGAGTATGGACTAATACTGGGGCGCACGATTTTGTTATCAATCAATTTTTGTACCTGTTTGTTGATTTCTTCTTGAAGAACAGGAGGGTATCTAAATGGTTTCTGATAAATCGGTATTTTATCCGTTGTTCGGATTTTGTGCTTGACGTGGTGAGTACAGGTCAAATCTGTACCTTCGCAATGAAATATATTCTTATACTTTTGACAGAGTTCGAGAATTTTTTGTTTTTCACTAGGTGTAAGGTGTTCAGTACGCAGTAATTGTGCAATATTGGAAGTATTTTCTTGGTTATCAGGTTTTTTAATGTTGTATTCAAGTAAAGAATCTACGTCCATAGGTTCTATGCAACATATCTCTTCTGGAGTGGTATTTCCTATAGGAATTGGTAACGTAACATGAGAATTATAAGCCGTGGCTATGCAATCGGGAAAAATGATACCATTTATTTCAAATTCCGGTATAACAACAGGACCATTTTCTATTTTAACTGGTATAGTGATATGATTGATATATTCGAGGCGAGTAGGTTTGATAGGCGTAGCCCTTTCGATAACGAATGGGATACATCGATTTCTTAGTTGAACTGTTTGATTTGTATAATCAATTTTCGCTCCTAACTTTTGAAGATCATCTGTGCCTAGCAGAAGATCAAACTTATCATGCCAATCAACTACTTTAAAATTTAGAACTTTATTTATACCAAATTCGTTCAAGATTGGGTACCGGACATTTTGTGTACCATGGGAAATTGTATTTAGCGATTTTACCTCAAAACTTTGATCAAATAGAAATTCGGAAAAATACGTATTTGCAATATCAGGATTCATGATATTTGACGTAGCTCCCGTGTCTACTAATATTTTAAGACCTAATTTTGGGAGGACTATATAGGGGAGCCTTGAGAGCTTGTAAATATTATTTAAGTCGACTGATTCATTTCCGAGGCCGCTATAGGAAAATTTTCAGCCTGTGCATCATCATTCTCAAAAGTAACTACTCCACTATCCAAGTAATCATTATCTTGTTGGTAGCCATAAGCGGTTTCAGAAAAATAATCATTGTCGCATTGATCGTGAGATTCAGTGCCTTCAGTCTCCTGATTATGGAGCTCTTCCACAATCACATTTGGCCTGCCTGTTTGTTGAAAGAAATTGGGACGATATGACTGCCTTACAGAAGTGTTTGGACGATAATTACTACCATCTACAGACATAGGCGTTGGCCTATTTGGTTGGGGATTTCTGGAAATTTGTTGATTTGAATTTTGGGAACGATTTGGCATTAACTGTGGTTGAGTTGTATACGGAAATGGTCTCGTACCATAATTTGGTCTGGGAGGTAAACTATTTGGTCTCGGTGGGCCAATTCTGGGTGGAGACATTTGGAATTGTGGCCTAAATTGATTTTGAAAGTTATTATTGAAGGTATTATCTGTGTGGTTTGGTAGAGATTTGGGAAGAATGCTATTTTTTCGTTGGGGTTCGTCCTTATCTCTCATGAAATTTGTTAGAGAACGTTCATACCAGAAATTTTCCATTTCCTAGATTTTATGTAACGCATCGGGTAACGTACCTACATGCGAATGAGCGAAAATATTCCCATACTGATCCTTTAGACCAAAAATAAATCGTTTTAAGGCCTGATCGTTGTACATGTTAAATTTAATTTGAAATAACTCCGGGGACGAATTCAGTTTTACCTGTTGCAAGATTTTTTGCAACTGTTCGTTAATTCGATCGTAATATTGTTGATACGATTCTTTATTAAGCTGGTGCATGCGAGAGAGTTCGTAAGCTAAGCATGACTCGTTCCTTCTATCTCCGAATCTGTTAATAAATATATCTTTGACGTCTTTCCAGGTAACCCAAGAACTGTTATTCAACAAATCCCTAGCCTCACCTTTAATTTTTGCAATAATATTATGAAGAAGTAGCTTGTTGAACACACAATTGGGATCTGGTTTTTTAAGTAGCTGTATAAATTGATCCCCTTTCGTTATAAAGTCTAAAAGATCCTTGGTGCCACCAAAATAATCAGGCACAATATCTTTAGCAAGAGACAACTCTAGATTAGTAATTTCCGAAGTCATGACTGGTGAATCAAGAGCAAATTCACGACGTCTTTCTGAATCTGATTGATCCGATTCGCTATCAGAATGATAAAAAGGCATATAAAATTATTAGAGCCACCAAAACTTCAATAGCCAATATCACAGAAATTACAAAAATAAGATAATATATAATATAGAAATAGAAATATTCACTAAATAGGTATTAATTGTCTATGAAAAAGCGACACTGAAATGTTTCAAATTAGCAACAAAATGTTCAAAAACTTACAGTAACAAATCCATGAAAGGCGCGGTTTTCTGTCTTCTTCTTTTTCTCTGTTTCGGCTCCACTAGCTTCTACAGTAGACTGGCTGTACTGCTACAGTTGCTGCACACCCTCCTAGTAGTGCCGGACTTACTACTAACTTTTTGGGAGTTCTGGAACTTCAGGCCGTGGCCCAGTGCTAATGGTCCCCAGTACCTTCACTCGGTTGCTTATTACTGGCTAGGATCCCTCCAAGAACATTGAAAGTTCGCGTGCCTTTTCGTTTAACTGGTGATTTCGGCTTGCCGATAATCTGCTCGATTGCCTCGAATTCGGACGCCGAAGGAACACGTTTCACGTTTCGCGACACGCTGAGGGATCCCGGTTGAGCCCCCAGTTAAATTACTGATACCGAGATTGATGTTTAAAAAAAAAAACTTTATTTCCAAAATCGGTACAGAGTGACTTCTAGAGAAACCTTGTCACGTAGGTACGTAAAACAAGACGGTCAAACCAAAAGTGACGAGATTTCCTAACATATGAATCTAGCATGGTATACAAGAAATATGATATGATAAAGAAAACGATGTTAACATGAGAACTAGCAAGGCGCGAGATAACATTCTTGAGCGCCGCGTCGTTGCTCGTGAGAAATCAAGTGCCTACTAAGTAAATTATAATTTTATATAATGTACAGGGTGAGCATGGACATAACTTGCATATTAAATATAAAATATATAAAGCAAAAGGTATTAAAAACAATATTACAAATAACTCAAAGTTTAAAATCGTAGAAATTCCAGTCTTCAGCACCCAGCGAATGTAAAAATAATAGTTCTGACACTCGTTCAGCAGATAATCTGTTTCGGCTTTGGCAAAGTATATTTCCGGCTTCAGAAAAGATCTCTCTGAGCGAAGTGTTGTGCCAACAATAGAGAGATATTTATTAGCCAGTTCTTTAAATATCTCCGAAGAAGAACTGGTGCTATTCCAGAACAAAAAGCGATTCGAGTTTAGGAGTATGGTATGACAATAGTCATACCATAGTAAATATAAATACAGTTTTAGCTGAAGATCAATACCTGATTTAGTATTACCATATTTATCTGCGTGATTTTGGGTCAGTTTTTCATGTATGGTATATCTGAAGTCACTTGAAATAGCATAAAAACCTTTGGTCGGCGCGTCCTTTGTAATTTCATGACGTATCATAGGCGTGCGGTGATTTATTTAGAACGATAATAATAATGTTTTATATCACAATAAATGGATTTTACTAGCTTCTTATTTTTTTGATTTGGGATAAAAAATACTTATATTGGGAGTAATTTATGTTGACTGAAAGTTAAGAAATGGAAAAATTACAGAATTCCAACGTTTGACATAGGCAAATATTTACATAGCAGGTAGGTATATAAAGACTTACATTATAGGTATTTACATATCATTCTCGCCTTCGGAGCTGTCGCTAGAGTCATCTTGTAGAGGAATTACAACGGGATTTACAGGAGGCAAAACACAATATTCATTTTCTTTTTCAATAATCTAGAACACTGCTTCCATAGGTCTGTGGCAGCAATATGAGATACCGCATCTCTTATTGTGGCCAATAGCGATTCACTTAATTGAGGGGTCTGATTATGTTTTCTTACTTTTTTTTTAACGCAGCCCAGACCAACTCAATCGGGTTAAAAATGCAGTAATAGGGAGGTAGACGTAATACTTCATGGCCATTTTGCTGAAGCAGATTGTCAACAACATACTCTTTTTCAAATTTTTGTCTTTTAATAAGATCCAATAATATGGCTTTGGTTGATTTTTGTGGTATTTCCATTCCCTTATCCTTCATAAAATCAATAATGTCTTGTTTTTTTGTGCCTGTATTCGGAATTTTGTTTTTCTGTCGGGAATGGTATGGCGCATTGTCCATAATAATCACTGAATTTGGGGAAATGTTTGGTATTAGCTGCTGCTCTATCCACTTTTCAAATAAGTCGTAGGTCGTAGGTCATGTCCTCATGATAGATGGCACATGATTCTTTGATATTTTTGGCAGATAACAGCAAGGCATTAGGTATAAATCCATTTTCACTGCCAGCATAGAGAATAATGATTCGTTTTCCACGGTTGCATGGTGCATTTAAAATGCACTTGTTGCTGTCGTCAACCCAGCCGTACTGCACAACATCATGGGTATCATACCACGTTTCATCCAGGTAAATCAGATTTCTTTTCTGCTCTCTATAGATTTTAACTTTGTGCAAAAATTCTTGGCGCAATTCAACGATTCGAGACGACTCCATAATCACCATTCTTTTATCTAATTTTTTGTATTGAAAACCACACAGTTTTACAATACAGTGCAGTGAGTCTAAGCATTTGTAATTATAAAAATCTTCAGGATAATCTTTTAATTTATCCCGTATCATTTCCAACGTGGGCACCAAATTTTCTTTATAAAATCCGTATATTATACGAAGAATATCTTCCTGAAAACCCACGTCTATTCTTTTTAATTTTTGCCCTATGCGCTTTCTGTGGAAGGAATGGTTGACTACATCTCCCCTTTATATAACCCGATAAACGGTAGACCGACTGATTTTTATCAGGATACAAATTCTGTTTAAAATTTGATTTTGCGAGGAATCTGGATTTTCGTTTTGCAGACAATCATACATATTTAGGATTACTCTTTGGGTCTGTTCCTCTAAATCTTTACGAAAGAATTCTGCCTGCACAGGTTCATCAACCATCTCCTCGTGGCTAGGAGCATTTTCCCAAGGTGTCCAAAGAGCCATATTTAGGACACACAAGAACAATCAACACAACAATTAAATCAAGAAGTAAACTGAGTATTCAAAACTCAAAAACACACAAACTAATAAAATCTATGAAAAAACACGGACAGACTAAAGAAAACACGTTTATTAACCGCTACACGGCACTGGCTAAACTGTTTCAATTTTCAGTAGCCACCTGCACTTGTTCCGAGCTCTGAAATACACGCTTTCTCATTGGCTATGTCCACGCATAGGCGTGCTTTACTCCACGTGGACCGGTGAAACTGCCTTTGATCTTATATATATTTGCTGCGAAATTTGGCGATTTTTGCAGCAACAGAGCGTGTTAAATATAGATATATAAAACGCACCCGGTATTTCACACTGTTTCAAGTGACTTCAGATAAAGTATACGCCCAAACACTCTCAGATTTTACAACATATTAATATGATTTTGCCCTGCTTTTTCAGTATTTATTTCCTTCTCGGGCAACTGAAATGACTGATTTAGGAAAGTGACTGCATATTTGCACACGAAATTGGACTATTAAAGTGCAGTCATTTAAAACAAGGGTCCAGGATATTTGGGACAGCTAAAAGTTTAATCCGTTTTATGTTTCCAAAACTCCTCGAAAGAGTCAAATTTTCAATTTTTTAAACACAATTTTATAATAAAATAAAATTTTACATACCTCTCCAGTAAAAAAATATCCCCAAAATCTTCCCCTTCCCCTGATTTTTGAGGAAAACTCCCTAATATGGCAACCCTGAAATCAAAAATAAATTATGTTGAGTAGCATCAGCGGTAGGAAACACCCAACTATCGTATATAAAAATATCGATCCAAAATATCGTGTATATTTCCTATAAATTTTACTCGTTCTGTATTCTTAGACGGTACAGATTCACAATTTTACAAACCTGAAAATTTTTTCTGGGGATTTATTCAACAAACTACACCAGCGAAAGCAAATGCATGTAATCGCAAAAAAATTCAAAAATGAGATATTGTTTTTTGGTTGTTATATGACATGTACATCTCGAAAAACCTGTCACTCATTTCTGTCGGTCTGTCTGTCTGTCCGCTCATTTTTACCCGTCTATAATTTGAGAAGTACCGTTGGGATTTTGATGAAATTTTCACACAAGCTTACTAGCATGTTAAGGATGAAAAATCTTTGTTGTTTTTGGAAATCGGTCTAATTGTGGCGGAGAAAAGACCGAAAACAAAAAAAATAAAAATAATTCGATCAACGTTTTTTGACGTTTTAGATGGTCCTGATCATTTTCTGAAAAAAATGTAGACGTTGAAATTTGAGGATTGGGGTTGTAAGAGGTGGGGGAGGGTATGTGAATTTTTTTGATCTTGGTATATTTATTAGTCGTATTTCACACATTATACATTCACCCGCACATTTGCCTTTGAAACTTAGAATGATAGAGAAATGGCGAACCAGTCCGGCTTATATACGTACTCGTACTGAAGACCGAGAAACATACGGAACTTGCATGACGGCGTCGCGGAGAATGTGCAGAGTCAACCCACTTGACGGCATCTTTTCAACTGCCTATTTGGTGCAATGTTCTACATCCCTTTCATAAGAATATTTCGAGGTGTGTACCGGGATGAGTAAAATAATGTTATCGTTTCTTTTCAACAAATACATTTTTTGTGCATTATATTGTTCATTTTTTCTTCAAAAGTAAGTTGTTAACAAATATCAGTGAATCTCTGGAATCTCATGTGAATATTGCCTTTTTATGGAAGAATACTGCGGGTGATTACATTCATTCTTTTCACTTTTTCTATTTGAAAAATCTTTGATTTTCTTTAAACATCACTTTGCAGCAAATTCAGTTTTCAAAAAAAGCAAAGATTCTTTGAAGAGGGATTGTTTTTTATATCGAAGCAGCCGCGCAGGCAGGAGCCTAAATGCCGGAACACTGCGGCTGCTATGATGATCCCAAAAAAATTTTGTTAATACGATTTTTGAACTGCCTAAGGTTAGTAGAACTGGGAAAAGCTCCCTCTTGTAGATTGTTCCATAATCTCGACACCCTCGGGACAAATGAGCGGTCGTATCGGCCAGTTCTGGATGTATGAAGTTCGACACGGTTAGGATGAGACGCTAAAGTCAGGCGGGTCTGTCTGGCAGGCGCATCGCTCGGCGGCATCATTGAAGAGAGCTCCGAGGAGCAAAGCCCGTTGGTGTAGCGGTAGAAAAGAGCTGGACCGCCGACGGCCCGCCGGTGCGAAAGATTTCCGAGACTGTCTGTTAGAGAAGAGTCATCGATCAGTCGGACCGCCTTCCTCTGGACAGCATCGAGCATGGATAATGTAAATAGGCTACCTTTTTCCCAGCTGCTGCAGCTATTGACGAGATATGTTCGTGCCAGATCAGGTCTTCGGTGATCTGGACTCCGACCAGCCGAAATGAACGGCTCTTTGGCAGAACTCGGCCGTCCATCGAAACTGGATGAGCGCTAGGAAGCTTTTTGTTCGTCAAAGTACAGTACTGTGTTTTGGAAGCATTGAACTGTACAAGATTATTGCGTCCCAACACAGTGATAGCCTCCAGGTCTCTTGTCAGAGAGGAAGTCGTCGCTAGTTTTTTTTTTCCAGCTCAGCGGCAGAGATCGGCTTGTCACTCTGAATTCCTGCATGTAGAGTGCTGTCATCAGCGAAGCTGTGGATTAGGTAGATCGCGCAGGAAAGGAGGTCGTTGATATGTAAGAGAAATAGTGTTGGAGCCAAGACCGATCCCTGGGGAACACCCGCGTTGGCGTTGTGGGATGAAGAGGGGAACCCGTCAATTACGACGGATATCTTACGGCTAGAAATAAAGCCAGCCATAGGATGGAAGTTTGCTTAAGAGGGCAGCGTGCCACAGCTGATCGAACGCTTTCGTGATGTCAAGAGCAACGACATGAGCCTTACCATAAGCCTGGATGAGTGTACTCCACAATTGCGTGACGTAAGCTAGAACGTCCGCTGTGGATCGTTGGTGCGGAAAATCATACTGCCTGTCGCTAATCAAGCTGTGACGTACGAGGTAGTCCAGAAGTTCGCGATTTATGCACCTCTCCATCACCTTACTTATAACAGAAAGCAGAACTATATGCCTGTAGTTGCAAGGGTCGGTCTTAGATCCTTTTTTTGGGATGGGTTGAACATGAGCAAATTTCCAGTTTTCTGGGAAGGTGCCGAATTCATAAGATATCTGGAAGAGATGCGAAAGAACTGGAGCAAGTTCCGCTGCACATCTCTTCAGTACAATGGCAGGAATCAAGTCGGGACCAGAAGCTTTGTTGATGACAAGCGACAAGAGCACTCGTCTTACGGTCTTATGCCTGAATTTTACCTCCCGCATAGTGTAGGGAAGCCTTTGAATTGACGGCACTTGGGCATTGGGGTTGACGTCCATGGTGGAGTTGGCAGCAAAGATCTTTGCTAGCACTTCCGCCCTGACCTTTGAGTCGAATACAACAGTTTCATACTGACACGTAAGTGGTGGAAGGCTACTGTGTGAGAAGTTCTTTTCAATCTGCTTGGCCAGCGTCCAGAAAGATCGACTGTCACTTCGCTGCGACATTACCCTGTGCCTAACTTTTATATCGTGCTGGTTTTTGGCATTGCGAACCGCTTCATTATATTTGTTTCTGGACTCGACGTCGACTTGCCTGTTCTCTACAGTGTGGTTTTGTAAGAAGATTCTGTGTGCCTTGATCTTCTGCTGGCGAGCAGTGTTACACGATTTGTTAAATCAGCCGGTGGACCCTGGAACTACCTCTGAAGCGGAGTGATTGGTATTCAGGAAGTCGATCTGGACGGCGAGGTATTGGAGTAGATCATCCCAGTTATGGTCTGAGGGAGAGCGATAAAGGCAGCAAATAAATTTGGGGGATGTTTTGGAGTTGTGGCTAAGCCACAGAATGTCTTTCCGGTCTGATTCCAAAGAAACATCTCTGGAGCAGGAAAGACTGCTGCGGACAAAACCCACAACTCCCCCGTTCTTTCTCAGATTGGAGTGCACCTCGTAGTTTGGGAAGTTGAGATGGTTAATCGGTGCAGTCTCTGAGATTTTTGTCTCCGCCAAGAAAAGCACGGCGGGACGATTGGATTGCAGGTAGTGACGAATAGCATCAATGTTGCTGTTAATTCCGCAGATGTTCGAAAAACAAATTTTATCTTCGATGTTGTTCCCTCGAGCCCACCCTCCACCCGGACATTCCGAGAGTGAAGTGAGTTTACGTCCGTTAGTGATAAGAAAACAAGTAAACACCCGCTTCATTCGTCCATACAATTTTCGAGCTCTACGCGTATTTGCAAACAAGTAAGGATTGAATGCAAAATGTATCAAAATGCATTTTTTACAAAAAAGAAAGTGATACCATTGTTTTTCAGTCATCTCTATACACACCATTAAAAAATTAGACGAAGAGCATTAAGAATACTCCACCAGAGAGACTGTTGAAAAAAAGGGACACTGCAGTCATGAATATAAAATAGATTGTCATTGTCATTTTAATCTGTACTTTGAAAAAGGCCACCGGGGTGACCAAAACCTTAGTAACGAATAATATCCACATATGTGGTTTCATTTAGTGGCAAGAAGGCATGAAACTTTCTGTCACAATTGCCTTGGAAGTATTTCAAGTAGATAGGATCTTTTTCTATTTACATGACAGTGAAATAAATATCTATTTAATCTACAGTGGCTTGTAAGAACCCCACACAGGATTTAGCTACTCTTTATTGATAATAATAGTCGTCTTTATTTTGAAATAGACTAATTGATTGGCGAAATGTAGCAGTCAGTTAGCGATTGGTAACACAATACGGAAATGTATGTCCTATCTTAAGGAAATGAAAAAAGACCAGGACAAGATCAGAAAATGGGTAAATCAATGACAACGCTGGTCTTTGCCAGTTATGGATTTTCTGGCCTGTCCATATTTATTTCATCCTAACCACGCTTCCACCAATTCCGTGGGAGCCGAGGCGGCATTAACCTAATATTTGCTAACTCCTAGCTCCGGTTTAATGAAATACATGAGCCCTTGTCCACTAATCTTGTCAGGTGATCTGATCTGCTACTGTGCCACACAAGCTTCATTTCAATGTTTTTGTGCAAAAACTACTGACAGAATGTTTGTCTGCGAGGATAGTCTTCTGGTAACAAGGACTGCACTCGTACATGGTAGGGATAAAGCACATTTTCCCGTAGGATTCTATGGACCATGGTATGCGATAGTCCTACGCGGCGGCCTAATTCCCGAGTGCTGATGTCTGCATTGATTTCCACGATATTTAAAATTTGTTCCTCCTGCTCTACAGTAACCTGTCTTTCACGAGTGCGAATATTAGTGGGCTGAACACTTCCTGTATCTTTGGTACACTTGCACAAATGTCCTTCTGTCTGGGTGTACCCGTTGGCGAAATCTGTCGCGATAAAATTGAGCTGCAAGATTTGAATTCTGATGAGCTTCACCATAAACTAACAACATGTCGGCCAACTCTTGATTTGAGAACATTGTAAATAAACACGAGGTCGTACGCGAACAATAACTAACCACTGTTACCGTTTGCGATCGATTGCCGGTTCGATAAGAGTGATGAGAGATCGGCGCGCTGTTGTCATGTGTGTTTTGAATATTTATTTTAATGAAACTTATTTACTTACTGACTACAAATTTTGGCTTAACTTAGAAAAGCTTAATGCCATTTATTTGTTAATTACCCAATTTGAAAACGTTTTAGATTAGATTATAAAAATTGGTAAGATTGTATTGATTGTGGTCGATATATAAAGTTGTAAACTATAAAGCCATTTAGACAAAAATCTATTGACTTTTGGACCATGGGTCATATGATCTTTTTGACTTGTTTTGAGCCCCCTATTACCCATTTCCATAATGACTACCATAACGTTTACACCCTATATGTTTTCAGTATCCATGTTCTTCGTAGTCTATTCCTAATTCTGTTTATTTTTGAAGGTGAAAGTTTCTGGTAGAGGCGTGCAACCAAAGGGCATTAGGGTCAAAGATGAGACTGATTTCACGATACATACTGAAGGTGCTGGAGAAGGGGTCCCTAGTGTCAGGATCATCGACGCTGATGGACAAGATGTTAACTATAGTATGAAGAAAATCAACGAACATACTTACAAGGCGTCTTATTCGCCTACAAAGGAAGGCAAACATGTCATTGTGATAACATTTGCAGGTAAGTATCCAATTATTTATTGGTCCACATAATTCCCGGCATCTATGAAATGAAACGGATGGGATTATTGGTTCAAAAAGTATCTAAAAAATGTGTTTGTAATGTTTAGCATAGAAGTAAATCATGTCCAATCGAATTATTTTGACACAAATTCGCTAAAACAACCGATTTTCCAAAGACACAGTTCCTATTGTCTCCTGAAAACGCCAAACTGTATGACTTATGAAATTCTTGAAATGACCGATTCAAATGGATTGTCACATGTGAACTACAGCCTATAGTCTATCAGCCTGCAGCTCGGAGTATAAACGTGGCCTAATTAATCGTACGCCACTGTTAACGCTACGTATAGTGAGACCCGCGTACACGTAAACAAAGACCCACCACGTAAGCAGTGGCGTACAATGAGCTATGTTGTTATTGTCCATTTCAGGTCAAGAAATACACAAGTCGCCATTTGAAGTAAACGTAGGTCCATATAAAGAAACCCTGATCCGAGCCTATGGTCCAGGCTTGGAGAGCGGAATTGTTGGCTATCCAGCTCTATTCACTGTAGAAACGAATGGAGAAACTGGTGCGTTGGGTTTCAGTATACAAGGACCGTCTCATACGAAAATTGAGTGCCATGATAACGAAGATGGGTCCGCAGATGTTAGGTAGCTATATCAATATCTTTTTCATATTCCTTTGGTACAAAGTGTTCGGGAGATAGACTAGATGCCTTTATTCTTTTATCTAGAAGATGCAGTTTTCAGGTTGTCTGTAAAACGTTTTAGGTACTACCCTACAGCGCCTGGAGAGTACGCTGTTCATATCCTTTGTGACGAAGTAGACATTCCTCAGAGTCCTTACATGGCTCAGGTGATCAACAGTGCTGACTGCCATCCAGAAAAAGTAAACGTTTTTGGGCCAGGTGTAGAATCAAATAACGTTCAGAAGAACGTCCCCGTCAAGTTCACAGTTGACACTAGGGCAGCGGGTGTAGCTCCATTAACCGTACAGGTAAAAGAACCAAGGAATTATACTTTTTTTAAATCTGACCGTACGCCAACCAAATTTTGTAACTCGGAAAGTACGGCTCAAGTTTTGACAAAATTTTTCGAAAATAGCGATAACTGTGAGCAAACAAGGTAAAGTTTCAGCACGACCTCAAACTGTTCTTCGATGTTTTAAGAGTTACTGGTGATTTTTAAGCTTCTCATAAAAAATATTACGTTGGAATCACAACTTCAATATACGTGACTAATTTTTTTACTTCCCACGTCTACTGGTGAGAAAGTATTGTAATAACGAAAAATTGAGATATTATGTTATATGACATCACGAAAAACTATATCTTATCTCCGTCCGTTTGTGGGTCTGTCTGTCTGTCGTTCTGTCTGTCCGATAATCCTTAGTCCGTCTGTAACTTGGAAAATGGCGCTCTAATTCGGATGAAATTTTTACACAAGGTTCCTGTGCCGTGAACGAAAAAGCCTTCTAGTTTTTGAAAATTGGTCCAGTGGCGTCGGAGAAAAAAGCCATAAATGAAAAAAATATTTTCGAAAATTTTTTGTAGGGGTTAGGGATTAAGGGGTTGGGGGAGCATATATTTAAATTTTTTGTCGTTGCTATATTTTTATATACAGGGTGTTCCTTAATGATATGCGAATGTTCAAGGGTGTGAATCTACATGAAAAATTAATGTTAGTTTGCTTTATAAACTATGGTCCAAAAATGTTTCCTTACAAAAACTCGGGGTGTTGAAGTTTTAGGGAACAAATGGAAATTAATTAATATTTTCAGAAACGCTTCAGATATTTTACTGATATTTAGTACGTAGTGGAAGTTAATAAATTTGCATATTTCTCAATGCAAAAATAATTTTTAGCTTCAACAGTGGCGTGCGTACGGGTATTGACTTCAATATTTTTTAAGGAAAAAATGGTTTTTTGCCAAATAAAATTATTTTTTAATTTCCCGTTCAATTTAAAACAAATGATCTCTCTTGGATTTTTTTCCTTTGATGCGCCATTTTTTAGTAAAAAAATAAAAACCGTTCTACACCCCAAGTTTTTGTAAGGAAACATTTTTGACACCCTGTACGTATATAATGTGTTTCGTCACGACAAGCAATATTTAAGATTGGTACCTTTCAGCTATTTTTATCGACAAATCCACCCCCTACAATGTCCTACCTCATCCCCCTTGAAATGGCAGCCATTTTTATTTTTATGTTACGAATAGTGCATGTATGAAAATTGTAATAACTGAGTACGTAATTGAAACAGAATGATAAATTTAGTGTCATTTGAACCATGAACCATGTCCTAGCGATTGTTGAAAAACTTGTTTTGATACTAACCGTCAAAGATACTTAAAAACAGACGAAAAGAGAAACAAACGTGGAAGAAAAATGATTATTTTGTGCATTTCCGCACACCATTCAAAAAGTAGTCTGTGAAGTTGTACTTTTTTGTGCTAATTCTACAGCTTTTTATTATCCTAAGTACTCTACGTTAAGCAATAAATGCTATCTAACATAGGGGCGGGATGCACAGAGTCAACTTAGTTATTTTGTAGGTGACTGACGGCAACCTTAGGCCATTGGACGTGAAAATGGTGAAAAAAGCTGACGGTGTGGTAGATTGTACATATGTTCCAACAAACGGTAGCAGGCATACCGTTGAAGTTAACTATGGAGGAGTAGCTGTGAAAAATTCCCCTTTCAGGGTGTATGTCTCTGAACCTGTTGATGCATCCAAAGTTCAATGTTTCGGACCTGGAATCAAAGACGGCGTTAAGACCAATACGCCAACTCACTTTAACATAGACGCAAGGTAAGATTTTTCATACTCCAGTCGTTACAATTTAGGACGTATTGCAAAGTATCAAGATCGAAGAGAGTAGCGGAAATCATCGTACACCACTACAAAAGCGGCCTACTTTACTTCCCATGCCACTGGCGAGGAAGAATTATAATTGCGAAAAGTTTAAAATATGATGTATTTGGTGAATGTTATATGTCTGTCGGTTTCCGATCATTTTCAAAAAATGTTGTTGGGGTTAAAAATTGAGGTACTTGGTTATAGGTGATGGGGGACGGTATATCTAATTTTTTTGTCATTAGTATATTTATGCACCTCCAGTAATTCTAGACACCGATTCATACAAAATAGATTTTCCTGTATACTTGCTTAAAACTGAATGAGATGATTGAGAAATATTTTTGATATACGCAACATCTGACCGATGGGTGGTGCAGTGCCGTGCTGGGTTGACAGGTGCCGATGTAAGACAGAACGTATGGGGACGAAAGACTAGTTTTTTGAGATTGTTTGTCTAACGATCCATTCAATTCCCTTGTTATAAAGGGTGAGCCATCCGTTGGTTTCTTCTTTAAATTGGTATTAAAACTACACTCTTCAATAATATGTATCACTCAATACTTTATTCAAAAGAATATACCTTCCGATTATTTATGAAAAACAATTTCAGTTAAATGACTAACCCACATTTTCCATAGTTTGTGAGACTATTTCATCAATAGCTCGACGGATGTTTTCCGTAAGAACATCAATTGTTTGAGGATCGTTAATGTAACGGCGGTACCCCATAGGAAGCTGCGGGCTGGCCAATGAACGCCTCCAAAACGACTGATAACACGATGACCAAACTGTGTGTGAAAGATCGATTGTTTCACGGCATGTCGTCTAATAGTGACCACAAAAAACCCCTCAAAATGTCTTTATAGCGTTCCCCATTTACCGTCACGCTGTTACCATCTTCATCTTAAAAAAAGTAGAGACCAATAATCCCTCCACTTCAAAAGCTACACCAAACAGTTACTCTTTTTGGATGCATTGGTTTTTCTATGACGACATGTGGAGTTTCAGAACCCCAAATCCTACAGTTCTGCTTGTTAATGGAAATGGGGCTTCGTCCGAAAAGATGATTTGGCGACCAATATTGATGTCCGTTTCCAATTGATTTAGAGCCCACACAGAGAAACGATATCGAAGCGGATGGTCATTTTGTTTCAACTGTTGCACACGTCGCGCCTTGTGAGGAAATAATCCAAGGTCGATATGCAATATTCTCCACATAGAAGTGCGACTAAATGCCCACTTGTGCTCTGTGATGAGTTGACATTCTTGCGTTTTCACGCACTCGCTGGACAACAGCAGCAATCCTGTCGGCTGTACGTACGGGTCGAGCACCCTCATACCTTCTGTTATCCACAAGCAGGCCAGTTTCACAAACCTTTTTCACGAATTTTCGTACAGCAGTTGCGACCAAATAGTCTTCTCAATTTTCACAAAGTTTCTGCAACAACTTTGAAAATAGTTTTCCAATAATCCCACCATTATTCAAGATTAAAACGATCCATTGATCACAGCGGAAGTTTGACACAATATATCTGTCAATATGTTGAGCATGGAACTGTCAAAATAATCCCAATTTAAAAAAACAACTGACGGCCTAGCCTTTACATGTTCGTAGCTATTTTTTTCTGAGAGAGCCTAAGTTGTGCCAAACATATTTCTCTATGAACTGGCAACACCCTTACCTGACACCATTTTTTACGCGTCAACAGTGGCGTACGAGCTGTTATGCTACTCTCCTCCATTTTGGCCCTAACTTGAAGTTCCTGAATTAGCCGGAGATATTTCTGTACATCTAATCTAAAGTATTATGCTTTTCCTAATAGAGATGCTGGGGACGGTGATTTGATAGTACATTTAGTAAACGAAAAAACATATGAACAAGTTCCGATCAAAATAACGGACAACGGCGATAGGACGTACACAGTTGACTACGAAACCTGTATCGCAGGCTTCCATCTTCTTACCTTGCATTACGGAGGCCAGAAAGTTCCCAGTACCCCAATAAAATTCAAAGTACATGACAATGTGGACGTTTCCAAAATCAAAGTCGACGGACTTGAACAATGTAAGTATACATTTTAATGATATGAAGCAGTATCTAACTTTCTCTATAACCTCAATCATTTACCAGCGGCTCCTATAAACAGCCTCCAACAATTCAGAGTAATCACTCAGGATGCAGGGAAAGCAGAATTCACTATCTCAATCACCAGTCCATCAGGTAACAGAGTCAAGGCACACGTCATACCAACTCACGAAGGCTACTTAGTCAACTTTACCCCAACACAACTTGGAGAATACTTGTTAGGCATACAATTTGGTGGAGAGCCAATCTCCCATAGACCTTTTAAGATGACGTGCTTGACGGGAAGTGACCCCATGAAGGTTAAAGCTACAGGCCCTGGTCTACATAAAGGCGTTGTAAACAAACCTGCAGAGTTCATGATCGACACCAGAGGCGCGGGTCAGGGGGGGCTAGGGGTCACAGTGGAAGGCCCATGCGAAGCTGCAATCAACTGTAGAGACAACGGAGATGGAACCTGCTCTGTTGCCTATTTACCTACTGAAGTTGGAGACTATGGGATCAATATTACCTTCAATGACAAACATATACCTGGGAGTCCTTTCCAGGCGATTATTACGCCCAATGTAGACGTGAATAAGATTAAGGTCTCAGGGGATGGTATCCAGCTCCATGGTAAACACTTGTGGAGTGTCGTTTGTTGTGTGTCCTTTTTTCAACTAACTAGAAACAGATTTGTTGTATGCCTGAGCAGTGATCGGTTCTGGTAATAGTTGCCAGACCAAGTCTACACCATGCTGAGGAGTTGCTAAATAGCGCGAAACAGCTGTCCATGATTTTCCGTCTATGTGGTCGGATAAACGAAAGCTATATTACTAATTGGAAGATTTATTCAGTTATCTTTTGTCGACTATAACGGCTCTCGATGGTTTTATCGTTCTGCGTTTCATATACACGCTTTTGCAAGCTCTGCATGTTCCTTCGTTGTTGTAGTACCTGTATTGCCTCAGCGCTCTAGAAAGTTTTGTATGCCAATAAGCCAGCCGAGTACTACCATTTGCTACAGATCGTGCTGATGATCTACCTATACATGGTGGCCCAGCCATGTGTGGACGGAATATTACTCATAAACAGATACATTTTGAGAAATTCTATTTATGGGATGTTATACATGACATTTGAGGGTACATTTATAAAATATTGGCAACTATATGAGGTGCCCCAATTTTGAACTACATATCAAAGTTGTGATTTTTTAAATGGAATGCCTCAAATTTTATTGCATATTTGGATAAACCAATTCAAAAGAAGAAGATTGATATAACATACTATGGGGTTTTAGGAAATAACTACTGAAGGTGTTTTGTCCAGAAAAACCGTCCACTTCGGCGACCCCTCAATCCGCCATTTTGAAATTTGAAGTGCTAAATTTTATATCAAAGAAAACTCACACACCTAATTTTTCGAATTTTAATTTTCTCATTCAGTGTGGTCAAAAGCGCAAATTGTGGTTTTTATCAAAAATTTCAAACGCATCACCCTGTATATTTGGGCAAGTTTGGATTCAATTTCTTATAAGCTTTTTTTTGATACTAGACACATAAGGGTTCTTACGGCTATTTTTTCGGTTATTAGCACGTCTTTCATGGAACGGCTTAATTCCCTAAAATATCGCATCATCCTTGGAAACAAATAAATTGTTGATTAGTTACAAACTGTCAAAATTAGCTTTGTGAGCATTATAATAAAAACGTGTTTGAAAATGAATTTTTCTAAAGAAGAAATGGTGAATATGGTGTTTCCTAGCATCTCGCATTTATACGCAACGGTACCCTAATATGCGACATCCAAGGCCGGAAACATTTTCCACACTACGAGAACGTTTTGAATCAAGTGGAGAGTGGAATATATTAAAAAATTTATAAGTAATCCAACTGTCATCAATGAGGCGAATCAGTTGGAGGTTCTATTGAAGTTGCACGAAAATCCCATTTAAGTGCACGGCAAATTGGAGCAGAAACTGATATAGGCAGAACTTGTGTCCAAAGGATTATTAACAAGCATAGGTACCATCCATATCCCCTATGCTTGCATCAAGGATTTCGTTCTTAGGATTTCGCGGCTCGAATGGAGTTTAGTAGAATAATGCTAAATAAAGTGAATGAAGACAGTACTTTCCTGGATAAGGTTATTTTTAGCGATGAGGCAACTTTCAACACCATAGGTGTTGTCAACAGGCATAACATGCACTATTATGCGACGGAAAATCCTTACTGGGTTAGGCAAATAGATTTCCAAAATAAATGGAGCTTGAATGTTTGGGGAGGAGTTATTGGCAGACAAGTTATCGGGCCTTTCTTTTCGGACAACAGATTAACAGGTACAGAATACTTCACTTTCTCGATCGAGCATTTGCCTTTGCTTTTGGAGGATGTTAACCTGCAAACTCGGATGCATATGCACTTCCAACATGACAGCGCTCCTGCGCATTATCGCGCAACTATTTGGACACCTGGAGTAACAATCGTTGGATCGGTCGTGATGGGCCTATATCTTGGCCTCCTAGATCATCAGATATGGCACCGATGGACTTCTTTCTATGGGGCTACGTTAAGCAAGAGGTTGTGCAACGGTCATTTATCCAAAGACTACGGCTATATATTCAACATGGTGCAGATATTTTCGAGCAGTTTTTGAAGTTTAGGTCTTGAGTAGTGATAGTTGTTTGTTTATGTTGTCGTTATAGTTGTTTTTCTATATTACGCTTGAAGCTGATGTATACTGTTCTGATTGTTATTAGTTTTTACGTCAAATCTGTACTCTTAGTGGCAATATGGAACTAGCCCACTGTTCGTTTTCTGTTTCCATGGATGATGTGATTTTTTTCCTTTATTTTGGGGTGTTGTTTTATTAAAAGCTTAATAACTCAAAATCTAGTGATATCTGAGTCAAACCTTATACCAAAAAAGCTTATAAAAAATTTAATCCAAACTTGCACAAATATACAGGGTGATGCATTTAAAATTTTTGAGAAAAAGTACATTTCGCGTTTTTGACCACCCTGTATGAGAAAAAATCAAAATTCGAAAAAGTAACAAATAAGATAAAAGCTGAGGCGTGTAAGTTTTTTCGATACAAAATACAGCACTCCAAATTTCAAAATGGCGGATTGAGGGGTTGCCGAAGTAGACAGTTTTTCTGGACAAAACACGTTACATCTCAGTAGCTAATTACCATAGTATGTTATATCAATCTTCTTTTTTTGAATTCGCTTATCCAAATGTGCAATAAAATTTGAGGCATTCCATTAAAAAAATCACAAATTTGATAAGTAGGTAAAAATTGGGACACCCTGTATAACTGCCAACATTTTATAAATGTGCCCTCAGATGTCATGTATAACATGCCATAAGTAGATTTTCCCAAAATGTATTTGTTTATGAGTAATATTCCGTCCACAAATGGATGAGCCACCCTGTATATGCATGAGCCTGCTTTGGTTAACCAATTTCTCACTAGCACACATCTATATAGTAATTTTTTTTAGGTGTCTACGTGGATTCACCGACAGATTTCTTAGTTGATACCAGAGGTATCTCTTCAAAGCCTACAGAAAATGGCAAAGTAACATGTACTATCACAAATCCATCTGGTGTTGAAACAGAAAAGCTAGTAACGCCTCTGTTAGATGGCACTTATAAGGTTTGTGCCTCGTCACTATCATACTCTACATCAGAACAGTTGTGTGACGCAGTGCTTTTTTAGTATTAAAATGATTGAATGACGTAATAGTACATGATTAATAGCAATACGCATTTAAGAATCTCCGTATTTTAGGTCAGCTATACACCATTTGAGGAAGGAAAGCACACGATAGACATATTTTATGACAATATGCCAGTACCGGGTTCACCCTTCGTAGTAAACGTTCGGAGAGGGTGTGACGCAAAGAAATGTTGTGCGTACGGTCCTGGTCTGGAGCACGGAATTTTGAACCAACCGAACCAATTCACCGTGGAAACTAAAGAGGCGGGTACAGGAGGACTCTCTCTGGCCATTGAGGGACCTTCGGAAGCCAAGATGACCTGCAAGGATAACCGGGACGGGTCTTGCTCTGTTGAGTACATGCCTACTGAGCCTGGGGAGTATGACGTCACGATCAAATTCGCCGACAATCACATTCCAGGTAAATTTGAGGGAGATCATACGACCTTGTTATTCTTGAGCGGAAACAAATATCCTTGCTACCTAAAATTTTTTTTACAGGTTCTCCTTTCAAAGTACAAGTAGAAGCAGATGTAGACGAAAAATTAGTAAAGGTCTATGGTCCAGGTGTGGATACAGCGAAATGTAGGAGCGGGGTCCCTACGAAGTTCACAGTTGACGCTTCTAAAGCTGGTCCTGCACCGGTTGCTGTGAATATTGTCTCAGATTCAATGCCTCTTCCTAAAAAACCGGAAGTAAAGAACAATGGCGATGGAACCTTCACCGTATCCTACATTCCTCCTAATGAAGGAGCGAACCTCAAGGCGCACATTATCTACAATGGCAAAGACGTGCCAAACAGCCCGTTCCATCTCAAGGTCAAACCTACAAGTGAGCCTGAAAAAGTGAAACTTATCGGCCCAGCTATTTTCGAAAATGGAATCCCAGCTTCGCTTCCAACAACCATCAAAATTGACACTAGTGAGGCAGGCTACGGAGACTTAGAAGTGAAATGTACAGGGCCTGATGGAAACGCTAGGAATGTGCAACTAGAAAAACAAAAGGACGGGACTTATGATGCAACGTTTCTACCTGATGATTTTGGAAGGTACAAGTTCGATGTTAGATATGGAGGAAAAAGTATCACCAAGGAGCCTGTTTATATCCAAGCTTTCGCTACAGGAAATGTGAGTAAAAATGACAAAAAAATATAAATATCTCATAAAAATAATCGTTAAGGAATGAAGAATTTTTATTAAATTGCTCTTGCAAAAAAAATTTTTTTTGAAGCTCGAGTTTTTAGTGGTGTCCCGCAAGGCTCCGTGTTAGGCCCTCTGCTTTTTATACTAAGTGACATATAAATCCGAACACCCAGTTTAAATGGTTTTATTTTAATAAAAGTTGGTGAATGTATTTATCTTACTGTAAATAACAAGTGAAAAAATTTTCAGCCTTATCAGTTGGACATTCCGGTTTTTATACTGTTTTTTTTTTAATTCACTAACGCTCTAAAAATGAATATTTCAGCCGCAGTAAAGAATCAACGTTGGCGGATTTTGGTTCATGACATCCTTTACGATCGGTTACGAGGCCTAGAGTACGGAGACCTGTACGATTTCGTCAACTTAGTGAGTTTGATAGGGGCCGTATAGTTTGACTTCGGGAAGCTGGACTTTCTTTTCGGGCAATTGCAGTTAGAGTGCAAAGAAGTGTAGACACTGTGGTTAGGTGTTGTCAAGCATGGCTTCGAGAAGGCCGTACGGAAAGAGCATGGGGCACTGGACGCCGCCGTAGAACAACAGACCATGAAGATCGCCGCCTAAGATTATTGGCCTTAAGGGACCGTTTCTCCACTACCAGGTCCATTGCAAATGAATGGTTTGCAGAACATGGAAGACCTATTGGCATGCGAAGTGTTTACCGACGAATGAGAAGTTTTGGCTTGTTTTCATACCGGCCACACTGGGTCCTCCCTTTAACTCGAGAACACCGACGTAATCGCCTTGAGTGGTTCAGACAACGGTCACTCTGGGATCAGGAATGGAACAGTATTGTCTTTAGTGACGAGTCTCGATTTTGTCTAGGCATGCACGATGGTCGTGCCAGGATTAGAAGGCGACGTGGTGAAAGGAGGAATCCACAGTTTTTGTTGAAAGACATGTTCATCACACTGTTGGAGTTATGGTTTGGGGTGCTATAGCTTATGGTTCCAGGTCACCCTTAATCTTCATCAGAGGTAACGTGAACGCGCAGCATTATATCCACGAAGTTCTAGAACCCCATCTTTTACCCTATCTTGACACCCTGGCAGATCCAACTTTCCAACAAGATAATGCCCGACCACATGTTGCAAGAGTCACAATAGACTTCTTTCATCATAATGATGTCACATTGTTACCATGGCCACCAAGATCTCCCGACTTATCCCCAATTGAGCACGTGTGGGATATGATGGGTAGGAGATTGCTCAATTTGCAACGTCCTCCTCAGACTCTAGAAGCACTTCGAGAGGGGTTGGTGGTTGCCTGGAATGAGATACCACAGGAGGACATTAACCACCTGATCAGAAGCATGCCTAGGCGCGTTGGAGAATGCGTGCATCCACACATTATTAAAGGTCAAAGGGCTTCAAAGCAGTGCAATCATTTTGAAATTTTTATCATTTACTTATTATGCTTCATTAAGTACTTATACAAAATTTTATTAAAATAAAACCATTTAAACTGGGTGTTCGGATTTATATGTCACTTAGTACATATTATACACCTCGCAGCTCGGCGCCTAAAATATTGCTCCTATCACTTCTATACTGATGATACACAGCTGTATATAACATTTGAAGAGACGGACATCGGAAAAGCATGTGATCAATTAAATGAGAACATAGAAAATCTAGCATTGGCATCTGAGAAGTACTGTCTAACACTAAATCGTGGTCAAAATTAATATTAGCGTAAAACATGAAAATTTGGGTGTAAAAAGAGGATACAGTAATCTTAAAATCCTATATAATACTAGACGTATCCTCACACTGCAATCGAAGAAAATTCTGGTGAAGGCTTTAGTGTTGTCACATGCTACATATGCAGATGTACTGCTTATGCCATGCTTACGTAAACACGATAAAGAAAGATTGCAAAAACGTTTGCGTTTTGTGAATGAAATATCGAGGGATTCTGCATTCAATGTGTATGTTTCATAAGATCATCACCTAACAAACTCCTGCTTATCTGTATAACAAAATTAATTTTGATGATATTTATAGAAAATATTGCTGACATATCAAGGACGAATAAAATCGGGCCATTGGCGGCGGGGTTAAGAATAAATAATAAAAAATGCTGAAGATCTGAAAGCTTTGTTTTTTAATCATTTTTGAGTTTCTGATCATTTTTGGGCGCAGTCGAGGAATTTTTTTAGACTCACCAAACAAAAAACGTTTTCCTGTTCTCTCATCACTTTAGAGCGTAGTTTAAAATGTGCAAGGAGGCAAAAAAGAATAAAAAACACGTATTTCAACAATCACGATTTAAATTTTTGTGTACCTTAATTTCAAATACATTCATGCGAATATGTTGAAAATACCGAGTCTATGTACTTGATTCCATTTGTTAGATCATCAAGTAGATTAACTCGAATGCTGGCTTCAGGAGTTATTCCGTTTTTTCTTATTTCAGGCGGAAAAGTGTAAGATAACAGAAGGAACAGAAAAAAATTTGAACAGTGGCGAATCGTACTGCGTAACTTTGGATACCCAGAATGCTGGAAATGGTGCAGTTACCTGCAAAATTAAATCTGTAGATGGAGGGTAAGTTCCAGATATATTATTCAAAACCTGCTTTATAAAAATGTGTTTATATTTTCAGAGATGTGGATATAAATATCGTGGATAATGGAGACGGTACCGTCAGCATCTACTATACTCTTGAAGAAGCTGGAGAATACACGATAAATATCAAGTTCGGAGGTCAGACTGTACCTGGGGGCTTCTACTCGTTTACGGTGAGTCATTGTGGCAAACTTTCCTTTTTTTTGTTGTTGATGTTCCATAGGTTTTTGGAGACCGGTCAAATTTCCTCAAAATTTGCATACCCTATATGGATCCTTTTTGCATAATTTTGATATAACATATCTATCAAAATGTATCTGTTGTTTGGGCATATCTTCAGGAAATTTAATGGATTTCTCATACCCCATATATAGACCACGCGAACTATCCAAAACTTGCCCCTACTGCGCGAGGGCCGTGGCAAATGCTTGTTCCGGACGTTGTTGTATCCAGTATACAACTTCTTCCCGTCCAAGTGATTGTGCACGCGTTAAGGAATACCTCAGTACCGATTGCCGGGTGGCGGTACAAGTCCGCTAACGGGCCACTTTAGGTCTATTTAACATCACTAACACGTAAAAAGAAGGTGGTAGACAAGGACCAGTCGACCGAGGCAGTACCACCCGCTAGCTTTTCCCAGGGTGTCTTATAAATGTCCGCATGTTTCCACACCTAAGCTATGCAGTCGGTTATCTACCAAAACAAAGAAATTAATGATGATGGATCCCTCGAGCACTAAAAACTCCGGACGTAAACTCACTCGACTCTCGGAATGTCCGGGTGGAGGGTGGGCTCGAGGGAACAACATCGAAGATAAAATTCGATTTTCGAACATCTGCGGGATCAACAGCAACATTGATGCTGTTCATCACTACCTGCAATCCAATCGTCCCGCCGTGCTTTTCTTGGCGGAGACAAAAATCTCAGAGACTGCACCGATTAACCATCTCAACTTCCCAAACTACGAGGTGCACTCCAATCTGAGAAAGAACGGGGGAGTTGTGGCTTTTGTCCGCAGCAGTCTTTCCTGCTCCAGGGATCTTTCTTTGGAATCAGACCGGAAGGACATTCTGTGGCTTCGCCTCAGCTCCAAAACATCACCCAAATTTATTTGCTGCCTTTATCGCTCTCCCTCGAACCATAGCTGGGATGACCTACTCGAATACCTCGCCGTCCAGATCGACTTCCTGAACATCAATCACCCCGCTTCAGAGGTAGTTCTTCTCGGTGATTTCAATGCTCATAATGAGCTTTGGTTGGGCTCAAATAAGACCGATGCAGCAGGTCGTGCAGTCGAAGCGTTCGCTCTTACTCAAGGGCTGACACAGCTGGTGACGAGCCCTACTTTTTTCCCCCGCGTCTCGTCACACGCCAGTAGCCTGCTGGATCTCTTTCTGACCACGCATCCTGCCCCTTACAGCACTGCTGTCCTGTCCCCCCTGGGTAACTCAGATCACGGTGTTGTGGAGGTTAGGTTTCGGTCAGAAGCCGCTGTGGCAGCAGAAACTCGCACAGGCCGCAAAACTTGGCATTACGGACATGCCGACTGGGAGGGGCTCAGAGACTTCTTCTCTAGCTTTCCTTGGAGAGATGTCTGTTTCACTGACGCGGATGCGTCGACTGTCTGTTCTTCAATAACCGAAATTATCCACGTCGGAATGGAGGAATACATCCCTCACACAGTAAAAGTTCCTAAACCAGGGTCCAACGGCTGGTTCAACAAATCGTGTGACACTGCTCGCCAGCAGAAGATCAAGGCCCACAGAATCTACTTACAAAACCCCACTGTAGAGAACAGACAAGCCGACGTCGAGTCCAGAAACAAATATAACGAAGCGGTTCGCAATGCCAAAAACCAGCATGATATAAAAGTTAGGCACAGGGTAATGTCGCAGCGCAATGGCAGTCGGTCTTTCTGGACGCTGGCCAAGCAGATTGAAAAGAACTTCTCACACAGTAGCCTTCCACCACTTACGTGTCAGGATGGAACTATTGTATTCGACTCAAAGGCCAAGGCGGAAGTGCTAGCCAAGATCTTTGCTGCCAACTCCACCATGGACGTCCCCACCAACGCCCAAGTGCCGTCAATTCAAAGGGTTCCCCACACTATGCGGGAGGTAACATTCAGGCATAAGACCGTAAGACGAGTGCTCTTGTCGCTCGACATCAACAAAGCTTCTGGTCCGGACTTGATTCCTGCCATTGTACTGAAGAGATGTGCAGCGGAACTTGCTCCAGTTCTTTCGCATCTCTTCCAGATATCTTATGAATCCGGCACCTTCCCAGAAAACTGGAAATTTGCTCATGTACAGCCCATCCCAAAAAAAGGATCTAAAACCGACCCTTACAACTACAGGCCTATAGCTCTGCTTTCTGTTATAAGTAAAGTGATGGAGAGGTGCATAAATCGCGAGCTTCTGGACTACCTCGAACGTCACAGTTTGATTAGCGACAGGCAGTACGGTTTCCGGCACCAACGATCCACAGGGGACCTCCTAGCTTACGTCACGCAACTGTGGAGTAAACTCATCCAGTCTCATGGTGAGGCTCATGTCGTTGCTCTTGACATCACGAAAGCGTTCGATCAGCTGTGGCACGCTGCCCTCTTAAGCAAACTTCCATCCCACGGTCTCTCAGAAAAGCTTTGCAGATGGGTGGCTGACTTTATCTCTGGCCGCAAAATCTCCGTCGTAATTGACGGATTCTCCTCTTCATCCCACAACGTCAACGCGGGTGTTCCCCAGGGATCGGTCTTGGCTCCAACACTGTTTCTATTACATATCAACGACCTCCTTTCCTGCACGATCAACCCAATCCACAGCTTCGCTGATGACAGCACTCTACATGCAGGAATTCAGAGTGACAAGCCGATCTCTGCCGCTGAGCTGGAAAAAAGAAGACTAGCGACGACTTCTTCTCTGACAAGAGACCTGGAGGCTATCACTGCTTGGGGACGCAAAAATCTTGTACAGTTCAATGCTTCCAAAACACAGTACTGTACTTTGACGAACAAAAAGCGTCCTAGCGCTCATACAGTTTCAATGGACGGTCGAGTTCTACCAAAGAGCCATTCATTTCGGCTGGTCGGAGTCCAGATCACCGAGGACCTGATCTGGCACGAACACATCTCTTCAATAGCTGCAGCTGCTGGGAAAAAGCTAGGCTATTTGTTTAGGGCTAAGAAGTACTTTTCTCCGCATGACCTTCTCACTCTATACAAGGCCCAGATGAGGCCTAGCCTCGAGTATTGCTCACACATTTGGGGTGCTGCCGCCCCGACTACATTGTCCATGCTCGATGCTGTCCAGAGGAGGGCGGTCCGACTGATCGATGACTCTTCTCTAACAGACAGTCTCGGCACTCTTCCGCACCGGCGGGCCGTCGGCGATCTAGCTCTTTTCTATCGCTACACCAACGGGCTTTGCTCCTCAGAGCTCTCTTCCATGATGCCGCCGCGCGATGTGCCTGCCAGACAGACCCGCCTGACTTCGGCGTCCCATCCTAACCGTGTCAAACTTCGTACATCCAGAACTGGCCGAAAGGACCGCTCCTTTGTCCCGAGGGTGTCTAGATTGTGGAACAATCTACGGGAGGAAGCTTTTCCCAGTTCTACTAACCTTAGGCAGTTCTAAAATCGTATTAACAAAATTTCTTTGGGATCATCATAGCAGCCGCGGTGTTCCGGCATTTAGGCTTCTGCCTGCGCGGCTGTTTCGATATAAAAAAAAACCTGACCCTGCTTTAGAAAAAATATAGCAACCTGTTCCGCAACAGAATTATACCGAGTGACAAAAAAAGGTAATCACCAAGTGATAAAATAGTCAAGTTTTTCTGTTAAGTTTCTTATCGCCCACATTGGGTGCTACCTCTCACAGCTGAACATCGGCGTAACCGTCTGCTCTGGTGTAGAAAAGAATTGTATGGGACCGAGAATGGAATCAGGTGGTCTTTAGTGACGAATCCTGGTTCTGTCTGGGGATGCACGATGGTCGGGCAACAGTTAGAAGGTGACGTCGTAAAAGACGTAACCCGACGCTATATTCAGGAAGTAATGGAGCCTCATCTTATTCCATATCTAAACACCATCCAACATCGCATCAACCGTTTAGCTTGACCACCACGATGGCCTGACCTATCTCCAATTGAACATGTCTGGGCTCTTGAATTTGCAATACCCTCCACAAACTTTAGCAATGAGTGTATAAGAAAGAAATCGTGGATCCTCAACACATTATTGAACCAGCTTCTGCAGTCCGTTGACGGAACATGCTGAAAATTTAATCATTTTACAAGTAAGCGACACTGAATATATATGACAAAAATTATTAAAATAGGATAAACATAGCTGGTTCTTTACCCTTTTCTGTCATTCAGTATACAGGGTGTTTCAGAACTAGAGATCAAACTTGTAGGGGTTATTCAGTGTAACAGTCGAAAACATTTGAGTATAGGGACCTATATCCGGCGCCTGTGTGTTGTTATCTTTAGAAACGATAACAGAGACTGTTTTTTGTAGCTGCATTCCATATCGCCTAGTCGTGCTATCGTATTTGTAAAGTTTGCAAGAATTTAACAAAAAGTAATTGTTGCTAATAGAAACGTTACCAATCAAGAATTGGCGGATATGCATTTCGCATACGGAGCAACAAGCTGCAGTGCACGAGCAGCAGCGCGGTTGTATCAAGAATGTTATCCCGAACGACAGCATCCGGGATACAAAAAGTTTATTGCTATTCATCGGCGGCTCTCCGAGACAGGCATGTTTAAAACCAACATGTATGCTACTGGTGTTGCTCGAACCGTAAGAACTGTCGAATTTGAAGAAGACCTCCTTCAGCGAGTTGCCGACGAACCATCAAGTAGCACACGTCACATCGCTGAGGATATGAATACGAGTAACGCTTCCGTCTGGCGGATGCTACACGAGCAACAACTTTATCCTTACCAATTTTGTCAATGGCTTCTTCATCAAATCGCTGCACAACCAAATTTTTTATGCTACGTTTTATGGACCGATGAAACCTCTTTCACAAGAGACGGTATTTTTAATAGTAGGAATAGCCACGTTTGAGACAAAGAAAATCCCCATGCAATTTTTCCTAGAAAACATCAGCAACGTTGGTCTGTCTACATATGGGCAGGCATTGTTGATGATTATTTGATTGGGCCATAC